AAATCTCTGGTTAAGATCGCTCACTCCAAGGCCAGGGTACTTTTGCATGATCCCATGATCTTTGGATAACCTTCTTTGAGTTAGGAATGGACAGAAGGAAATCAGGAACAGGAAGGGAGATACTGATTTTGAGAGAAGTGGCTATCCTAGTTCTTCCTGAAGCTAGTGATGTTGGATTGGGTTCCTCCATGCCTCACATCCAGTAGGCAAGGACTGGAATTTTGACAGTAGAACTTTTTGCAGCCTGATGATCTTTTGGGGGTGACCTATATTAAGAATGATCGAAAGAATCAATGGAAGCCGACGATTGGTGGGGAGGGGCAGGAGGCACAGTGGGCGAAGGCCTTCCTGTGAGAACATGGTTCGGCACTGATTTAGCACTCTTGTCTGTGCGTCGAGCCCCCCAGAGAGTCATTCTCCCCATCTGTCCTTGCCTCTCCTGCCTGCTTGTCTCCAGATGAATTACCATTTGCCAGGGGGTCCTAGAAATATCTTAGAATGGCGTTTGTCCCAGCTGCATGTGTCATTACTCAGAATAGCACTGACTTAAGCCAGCTTAGGATCCATTGGTAACAGATTTGGAAAAAGTCAACCCTCTTTGGCAGCTCGAAAGTTCACTTCCCTTGAGGAGTGCCCTCTTGTAATATTTTAACATGTGCAATAATATGAGAAAACTCTCGGGGACTCACAATTCTTTCTTAGCATTTCAGAGAGATTTCCCCCTTGGAAAGAAAGAAATAAGAAACATTTTCAAACGTCTGCTTAGAAGAGTAGTTATCAACAAACTAAGCTGATTAGATTTGGGGAAATGGATGACTGTGAGTGTGGTGCTCACAAGACGTGTCTGTAGGTCCTATGAACAGATTTTCCTTTAAAAAAGGAAAGTTGATTGATTAGTATAAAATGTCACAGAACTGTCCAAGTGCTAACCCCCAGAGGTGCCAAAATACAAGGTTTTGGCTAAGCTGCCAAGCTCCCATGTCAGAATTAATTGGCAATCATATTAGTAACAAGCATGACGCAGACTGTGCTATTGTTGGCATATTCCTTTGACTTGTACAATGTGGTCGTGTAAAAAACAAAGAAACATTAATACTTCTACCAATTACTTCACCTGTGCACTTGAGTGGTCTGGAAAAAGCTCAGGATATTTCAACAAAATGAACTGTACTTGTCACTGATTTAAAATAAATATCTTTGTGAGGTGTAAGTAAGCATTTGAGAAAGTTCTGTTCTGCATCACTGTACAGTGCTCC